GGCCAGGCTGGATGTGGCTTGGAGCAGCCTGGGACAGTGGGAGGTTGGCTTTAAAGGATCCCAGGATGGGATTTTAAATCCCTCCAACCCCAAACATTCTGTGATTCCATGATCAATTGGGAAGGTACCACATGGAAAAGGACATGAAAATCCCCCACAAAAAACAGGGAATCACCAAAGCCCTGAAAAGAGCAAAACCCAGCAGCAGTGCCCATCCAGAGGGGTGGGATGTGAGCAGCAGGGATGGAATCCTTCCTCCCCTGTGCTCTTTGCAGGTTTGCACTTTGGGAAAGCAGCAGGAGGGATCTGGGAGCTCTCAGGGATGAGCAGGGAGGAGCAGAGCTGGGGCAGGGGGGCTCTGTGTCAGTGCCAGGGCTGCTCTGGGGCTGCTGTGCAGCTGCACGAGTGTCTGCAGCAAGAGGAATAAACAAAGTCTGTGGAGGGAAAGGAAAAGAAGTCACGGCAATAAAACAAAGCAAGGAAGATTTAGGATAAAGCTGAGAAAAATCCCGACACGTGCTTCCCCCGGGAGACTGCATAACCAGAATGTGGAATCTCCATCTCCAAATGTCATCCACAGCAGCTTAAAATATAGCTGGGTCTGCTTCAACAGCTCCTCAGGGTCCCTCCCAGGCCTTTTTATCCATCTGATTCTTCTCTCCATAGCCTCAGAATCTGCTTTACAGCCTGGGAAGAAATACAGATCTGAAACAACTGCATGACAGATTTTCTTGGTAGTGAGTTGGTTTTTTAAGTGACAAATGGAAACTTCCTTTTGGAAAAGCATGATTTCAGTGTAATGTGATTTTCTGAGAAGAAGCCAAGCCCACCAAGAAAAGCTGTTTGCTGGATCTGCTGACTTGATGCTGTTCTGAGGTTTTATTGGACCTGCAGAGTTGGTGCTGACAAAAAGATTTTGGTGCTGTTTTCTCTTTGGATGTTCTTCCTTCAGATCAAAGATTATATTTAACCAGATCAAAAGCCTGGTTAAATATAATAAACCAAAGGTACAGATAACAGGGCAGGAGGTTGTGTCAGCCCAGGGTTTCCTGCTTCCCTGTTCAGAGCCGCTTCTCGCTGGTTGCCCCGGCTGGCTTTGAAAGCTGTGACGCTAGCACAGGCTCTCCTTCCCCCTTCCCAAGTGCATCCAGGATGAATATCCAAGGATCTCCAGGTTTCCCAGCAGCTTCCCCTCCCTGTGAACCCAGAAGTGGCTGTGAGGTGCAGGAACAAGGGCAGGCTTGGCACGTGGCAGGGTCGATCTGGAGGGAGCCAAGAACGATGGGGAGGAACCTCTTCCAAGAGCCTGCAGTGCCAGGACACAGGGAACGGCTTCAGCCAGCAGAGAGTGGGTTTAGATGGGATATTGGGAGGAAATTCCTCCTGGCACAGGTGCCCAGAGCAGCTGGGGCTGCCCCTGGATCCCTGGAAGTGCCCAAGGCCAGACTGGATGTGGCTTGGAGCAGCCTGGGACAGTGGAAGGTGTCCCTGCCATGGCAGGGGTGGAATGAGATGAGTTCTGAGGTCCTTCCACCCAAACCATGCCATATTTCTGTGATTTTGGGTCCTTTTCATTCAAGACCCTTCCCCACACTCAGCTGGCTCCAGTCCCAGGACAGTGGGAGCCACTGGGGGAACTGGGGCTGTGCTGCTTGTACTGGTGCAGGGAAAACCTGGTGCCACTCCTTCCTCCAAAACAAATGCCATGCTAAATGACTCTGCACTCTCTATCTCCCTGAGAGAGGGATTTATTTTTTATGCTCACCCTCATTCACTAAGTCGGGGTTTTTATGAGAGCACATCTCTATTTCTATCATTAGCAACACATGTGCAGAGTAAGGGTTTGGGTACTCACCAGTCACTCACTGCTCATTGTGATGGCTCCACGATTTTCCCTCCTCCCTCACTCCCAAAGCAATTAACAGGAAATTCAGCTGCTGCCTGAATGGACACATTTCCAGCAATCTTCCTTAATTCTTTATTTACTGTAAAATGAGCAGGGCAAAAATTGCAACATCAGTTCCTCTTCTGAGGCTGGATCCGTTCCCTCCTCACATCTCAGCCCCTCCCTGCCCTGCCCTTTCCCGACCCCATCCCAATTTCTGACGAGCTGGGATGGAAAGCAGGATGAGGGAATGTGAGATTGCTGCCCATGAATTCCTCGAGGGAATTCCAGGGAATTGGTGTGACCAAAGCTGAGCTGTTCTCAGTCAGCCCTTGGAGCTGGGTGTCTTTTCTTGCCCTGGGCAAGGATTTGTGCTAAGAGAGCTCAAACTTCATTTCTGCATCACCCAGAGCAGGGCCTGGTGGCATTTCCTGCCATGCAAGGAGAATATTCAGTGCCTGCTGCTTTGGAAGAGGAAGGTTTTTAACAGTGGATATGGTGAGGCAGCCAAGGGACTGCCCGAGCCAGGGGAGCAGGAGATTGATGGAGAACGTGATGAGAACCGTGTCCAACCTGTGCCCTCCTCTTCAAACAGAGCCTTGAACAGCTGCTGCAGGGATAAAACACTGATTTTTAATAAATAATATTAAATGTCTATTGAATAGATAAAACACTGCTGTGAGCACAGACAGCAAACCCTGGCCTTGCAGCGAGGGGGTCTCAGAGACACCCCTGACATCTCTGGATGCTCTGCAAAGCCTTCACAGGTGGGTGAAGCCCTGAGGGAGCTCCTCGCCCCACTCTTGGAAGGGAAAGGGAGATCTGGGTGCTGCTGGGAAGATCCAAGGCAGATCTGGATAAAAGAAAGGCTCAGGTGCTCTCCCAGGCTTCCAAACTGCCCTTGTTCCCCTCCACCAGAGCAGGAAAAGGAGGAAGAGGAGGAAAAGGAAGAGAAAGAAGAGGAGCAGGAGGAAGAGAAGGAGGAGGAAAAGGGGAAGAAGGAAGAGGAGAAGTTCAAGGAAGAAGAGCAGGAGAAGAAGGGAAAGGAGAAGAAGGAAGAGGATGAGGAAGAGAAGAAGGAGAAGGAGAAGAAGGACAAGGAAGAAGGGGAGCAGGAGGAGAAGGGCTGAACCAGACAGTGCAGAAAAGGTTTGGGGAGATCAGTTCAAATGATGCCATCACACCTGGGATTCCCAGGGTCCAGGTCCAAAATCCCAGTGGGACACCTGCACAGATCAGGACACTCATGGATTCCACGTTCTCAGTCCCAGTGAGAAGCCTACAACAGGCTGCTCTGCCTGGTGCAGTGACCTTGAGGAGCCCCAAGTTGTGCCAAATCCTACAGAAATGCTTTTGTGCATCTGTTGGGATGTTAGGAAATATCTGAGGGAGGTCAGGTGTGCAGGCAGGTTTATTACAGAGGATCCAATCCTGATAAATCCACATTTCATTTAACAGCCAACTGCAGACTCTGTGACCTTGCCTGGCCCTTCCCAGCCTCTGCTGTAAACCATGTGCTCAACAGCCTTTTTTTAATGATCATTTATCCTTTATCACTGTTATTTTAAATTGTATTGTGTCAGGAGGAGCTTCCAGAGGCAGCTGAGGATGGTGGTGGAGTTTTTTCAAGGCAGGCAGCACCTTCTCTTGTGATAAAAATCAATATATTTCTATCTGCACTCCAAAATCCGAGCCACCATTAATTCCTAAGGGATTTACAGAGAGGGTCTGGCCACAGTGAGCTGGATCCCTTGTGCTGGCAATAATTATATTTCACTGGAGTGAAGGAAATAGAATTAATTAATGGAATTAATGCAGTGGGAGAATCAACTCTCTAGTTAAGGTGGGTGTTTTATTCCTCAAAGGAATAATTTCTTTAAAGGGCAAGTTAGGACCCACTAAAAAGTGCAGCACAGCTGGAGTCAGGGGATTTCAGGGTAAAAATAAACTCAAATCAAAACAATAGGTGATGATAAAGTGTATGGAGGGATCTTAAAGGATTGGGGAGAGCAAGAATGAAAAATAGAAACAAAAAAAAAAATCCAAAATGACAAATTATTCCTTGTGAGTGACTGAAGTGATTCCCTTGGCTTGGGAGCTGCCAGATCATTCTGGGGACTGAGAGCCCCCCTGATTTCCTTGCCAGCCCTGGGAAAAACATCCAGGTGAAAGAAATGTCTCACAAGCAGCTTTTGCCTGGTTTTATTTCAATAGCAGTGACATTCCTTTTGTCGTGGCCAGGCTCCTTTGTTCCCTTCAGTGCCGCAGCTTTGGGTGGAAGGAGTCTGGCAGCCACACCTGGAACTGGTTTTCCAAAAATAACATTTACTTTTGGCTAATTTAATACTTTGCAACTTCTCAGGACGAGTTTTTCATTTGCTTTCCGAGGGACTGTGTAAATATGAATAAAAGTCAGTTGTTTCACGAGCAGGGAAGAAAATAAAATATATTAAAAAATAATAAAAAAAAAGCTCCTTTGGCAAACACCCACATGGAAGTTTTTAAAAGCAGCCTCAAACTGCATCTGTAGGCTGCAGCTACTCCTCCAGCCCTGTGTATCCCTGTACTCCAGAGAGGGAATGCAAACAGGAAATCACAATTTTAAAGCCACTTTTTGGGGTTTTTGGAAGCAGCTCCACAATTTGCAGCGGCGCTGTGCTGTCCCCACTCATCCCTGTGCTGCCAGGTGAGAGCCTGGAAATGAGGAGGAAATTCCAGAGGTGTGCTGGGCAAGGTGGGAATTCCCTTCTGCAACACTTTTTAGGGAAAATTTGCCAGGTTTTTCTTTTCTGTGGCACAATTTGGAGTCTCTGCAGTTGTTTGGGGCTGGGCACGCTCAGCATAATCAGGGTTTGCCACAAGTGCTGAGACCAGCACAAAAAGGAGCTTCAACAGGTGAAAGTAAAGGAATTTTAGTGAAAAATGCCCAAAAGCACCTTGAATTCAGAGGATTTCCCCCCTTTTCAGGCCAGCAGAAACTCTTGCCCTGCCCCAAATGAATCCACAAAGAACAATCATTTATATCCTATTTTTCACAGAATTTTCAGGTCTTTCTTAAGCTGCTTTACCTGGTTGTGACCAAACCTTTTTCTTGTTTAAAACCACAGAATTTCAATACAAAGACCTTCATGGATGCTGCTTGTGCCATTTCCAGTCTCCCAGACCATCCCATCCATAAATCCCTGCATTCTGAGCATGCTGCAGCCTCCAAACTAATTTAGCACAGGAGGAACACACCCTGAGTCCAGGTGAGCTCAAGAATAAGGAATATCTCACCCCTGAGAGCTCTGCAGATGATTGGATACCGATCTTTATGCTGCAGATTTTCAGATGTAGATGAATTTTAGATTAAGAAATAAGAATCACAAATTCTGACAACATTCAGATGCTTTTCTGTGCTATTTTGTGGGCCATTCATTGCAATTTTTTTGGTTGCTGATGCTGCAGCTGTTTTTGTTCAGTTCCAAGGGACATAAAAGTCACAGACTGTTGATTCCTTTGTCCTGTTGAATTATCTTAGGGACTAAATGAGTTTTTCATTGCTAATCCTCGCCTCTGTAAATTCAGAACTAATTAATAATTTATGCACAATATTCAGTTAAAAATCTGCTGTTCCCATGGGTTTTCTTACCAATTTATTTGCTGGAGTGTTTGTGGTGGCTGTAAATGGCAGAAAGTCGGGGATCCTTTGTGCATGAGAATAAAAACTGGAAATTTCTTCTCACGAGCAACATGGGAACTGCAAAATGCTTTCAGGATGGTTTTTAGAAGTTTCTTTTGGATAATTTCAGAAGGAAATGGAGTGGGGCAGTCAGTCCTGCTGGGTGAGTGAAATTTGAGAAGTGCTGGGCAAGCAGAGCTGGGATTTGAAGGTGAGGGACTTCAGAGGGGTTGAGGAAGAGCTGGACCTTCTGCAGGAGAAAGTCAGGGAAGGCTGTGATGCTCCAGTGTGAGCAGGGAAAGAGGCTGGGATGTGGCAGGGATGGACCTGCCAGAGACATTTCTTTTTCCAGAATGGATGTGGTGGGATGAAACATCTGGTGTTTGATGGTATTGGATCTGATGCCTGGAGAGGCTCTTGGAGCAGGGGCTGGGCAGGGTTAAAGGAATAAAGCGGGGATTTATTAAAAGCCCTTCCAAGGATGCACCTTGGGCACTGCAAGAGCCCGGCCCTGGCTGCACCCAGGATGGGCCCTGGCTCAGGAGTTTCACCCTTGGATCAGTTCTGGTCCATTTCCACCCTGGGGTGAATTGTGCAGTTCCAGCTGCAGGTGATGCAGTCCCATCCTCCCAGGCTGCTCTCCTCAATTCGCTGCTGGTTGCACTTTTTGGGCCTGGAGCTGCAGCGCTGTCCTTGGCTGTGGGGCTGGAGAAGGATTGTTGTGTGTGCCTGAGCTGTGAGGAGACCCTGCTGACACTTTGTGTGGAGTTCAGAGTTCTGCACCAGTGCAGAGGCTGGAAAATAACACAGCTCAAAGTGAAGGCATCAGATCCCTGCCTCCAAACCTGGTGTTCAGAGCTCCCAGAGCTCCAGGCACGGGGGATCCTCAGCACTTCCCTGTCCCACCTCAGTCCATGTTTCCAGTTCTGAGGACCCAGCTGAGCTGCAGGGCTTTGATGAAGGCTGTGGCTGTTGTTTGCTCAGCACCCCTGTCCATCCCTCACTGTTGAAGAATCCCAAATCCCTGAGGCTGGAAAAGCCCTCCCAGCCCAAGCTGTGCCTCACCCCTAGCTCAGAACACCGAGTGCCACATCCAGGAATTCCTTGGGCACCTCCAGGGATGGGGATCCAAACCTCCCTGTGCAGCTCCTGCCAGGGTTTAACCACCTTTCCATGCAGGAATTCCTGCCCCTGTCCAGGTGTGATGCTTTTACACCTGGTTAAGGTGCGAGGCAGGGAGCTCTGAATGTGAAATGAGCTCTGCAAACAGCAGCACAGAGTGGATATTATTTATTTAGTGTGATAAAGCAGCAGCAGTGGGTTAATCAAACACTCATTAACAACAGGTCAGGCTTTAATTAGAGAGCCTGGTGCAGTTGGCCACTTCTCCCTGAGTGCCACCAGTCAGACAGAGTCTGGGATGAGCAGGGATTCCTTTGGGAACTTCAGGCATAGCTGGAGCTGCCCAGGGGTCTCTGTGCCTCCTTTTCCCAGCAATTAAGGGAACGTGGGGAGCTGGGTGAAATCTCCAACAAAAGCTCCAAACAGCTCTCCTGAGTAATTAAATCTCATCTCAAAGAGTTGAAGTCCCAGTGGGTGCAAAGGAGTTCTTTTCTCTCCTGTTTCAGGAGGGGGAAAGGAAAGTTCTGCTCCTCAAGCACAGGTTTTATTTTACACGGCTGTTTTTTCCTTTCTTTGTGCTATTTTAAGAACCAAATCTCCACAATTCCATTGTCTGAACACCAAAAGTTTCTCCTTCTTGGAGAGGCAGTGAGATCCTGGCAAGAAGGAAAGCAAACACCTCGATCAGTTTGAGCTGCATTCCCGAGGTTCTGCTGGATCCTCAGGGAATGTTTTGCTGTGTTTAAAGCATGAAGGGCTGGAATCAGTGACTGCAGGTGGTGTTGGTTAGCAGCGAAAATATCAAGAAGGGAAATTTATTCTCCTCTAATTCCCACTGATTTGCCAAATTCTGTTCCCCATCTTTAACTCCTGATGAATTGTATTTTTTAGGAGCTGTTTTATTTTTGTGCTGGAGAGCAGTCTTGGATTGATAGGTTTATAATTACCAAGATTATCCCCTTTATTCTTTCAAAATATTGATATTCTTTTTTGTTAACTCTGATTATCCAAGTTTGCTGGAAATCAAGACCAACCATGTGTGGATTTCCTTACCAAGCTCTTTAAAACTATTTTTAATAACAAAGATACCATTATCTGGACTTGCTAATCTTGAAGTGACCAGCATTAGTAAATGCTGTTTGATCTGTGGGGAACATCACCACTTAATAGGGTCCCCAAAACAAAATCACAGAATCTTTCAGGTTGGAAAAGACTTTCAAAATCACTGAGTGCAACTTTGGAAGTATTTACTGGCTCTGTGTCTTTTCTTAAATCAACTTAATCATCATCAACTTAAATATTTTCCACCTGATCAGCCTCATTTTAATTTTTTTTTTTGTAGCAATAGGTTCAAAATCAAGCTCTTCTGCAGATTTGTCTGCCACTCTTATTGCTTTCTGACAATCCCTAAACTTTTACCAGAAATCCACAGCTCCCAGCTTCCCCTTTTTCTGTATTTTTGGACAGATTTTTCTTCTGTATTTTAGCACATCTGTGACCTCTGTCCCCAGCCTGCCCACGGGGTTTGAGGTGCTGCAGGTTTGTGACCTGGTGTTTCTCACTCTCTTCCATTTCCATCCCTCCTTCTGTTTTCAGCTCTGTTCAAACCAGATTTTGCCTACTGAAATCCCAGCTGGGGTAACCCAGCACAATCCAGGTGATTTTTTTAGATTAATTTGAGCACAGAAGGACACCCAGGGCAGGAGATTCTCCTGTTGCTGCTGAAATCCAGCTGCAGAACCATAAACTACCTCTTGGCACTGGGCTTCAAAGCAGGAGCTGATTTCCTGCTGGTGTTTCTCAGCCTCCAAACCCAGCTTATGGCAGCAATAAAAATAAACCAGAGGCATTGAATTCTGCCCCAATAAAGCTGTGGTTGTGCCCCAGCTCCAGATGGGAAGCAGAACGAGCCCAGCACACAACAACCTGGGCAGGAGCTGAGGCAGAGGGAAGGACAGGTTGTGTCGGTGCCATTCCTGCTGTGCTCTGGATAAATCCACCCCACAGGGAGGAATTATTTCCATTTTTCCCCTCCTGAGCCTGGGTGATGCAGAGCTGCCCAGGGGGGTTGGCAGGCAGGACAGGGATCCGAGGGAGGGACAGAAATGGGTGACAAAGGCTGGTCTGTGCAGCTGGGAAAACGAGGGGTTCGTGCACTGTGGTCACTTGGAGCGACTCCAGGAAATCCTGGGATGGTCCAGCCCTGCCCAGGAGGGAGATGGTTCTGTTGTCACCTGGCAGAGCTCAGAGCAGCCCAGCAGCGTCTCAGGGATGTCCATGGGAATCCATGGATCAGCTCCTGCTCACTTTGGAGCTTTTCAAACGCACCAGAGCAGCGGAGGCTCGGTGAAAGGGAGGACCCTGGGCAGGCTCAGGATATGTGCAGAGCATCCCAAAGCTCCTCCAGCAGGCTGGCAGTGACCAGAGCATCACCCCCATGGCAAAGCTGAGGGATTCCCACATTTCCCAGCGTTTCTAGTCCGCATGGCTGCGTAAAAAACCGATTTATTTGACACAGAAAGCACAGCTGGTGCCTCTCTGGGGCAGCAGTTCCCACACCCTGCTGCTGGTGTGAGGAGAAGAAAAGATGGGAGGTGTTTTTAGGAAAGGAAAAGTAAGCTCTGAGGAAGTTTGATGACATGTGAGCAAAGAGGGAGCGTGGCACCCCTGCACAGATCAAACAGGGGTGGTGAGAAAGGACTCAGCCACCCCTCTTGCCCTCAGCTGTTAATTGACATCGCTGTTTCTGGATTTTTGCTCTTCTGAGAGAGCCGGGCTCTCCCGTGGGATGAGCTCTGGGCTGAGCTTTGCTCGCTTTGGACAGCAGAGCAGCGATTGCTGGAGGTGAGAGCAGCGAGCTGTGAAAGCTCCTAAGGCCCCTGTGACAGCAATAACCCCACAGGTTATTACACAGCTTTTACAGCTGCTCTCTCTCCCCTCACACCAGCACAGCAAAGAGCTGCTGGAGATGGCTCTGCTTTGGAGCAAAGTCAGCCTTGAGGCCCGGGAACGCTGCTGCTGCTGCTGCTGGAAATGTTGGATGCAGGGGGAAGGCAGGCACAGCTGCCCCGCCACCCCGTGCCCTCTCCTGGGGCTATTTTGGTACTCAAGGATGAAATTTCAACTTGAACAGTGCCAGAATCACCTGATGTGAGGCTGAGGAGGCACAGAGGGCACGGCTGGGAGCTGGGCAGGCACCAAGCAAAGGCTGCAGGCACAGCAGGAGTGGCACTGCCACTGCCACCCCAGTGCCACCTGTGACTGGCATCCCTTGGGAGCACCAGCCCCTCAACTCAGTGCCTGTGCTTTGGCTGGGAAAGCCCAAAGAGATTTTCCTTAGAGTTCAAACAGCTGTTGAAATATAAAGACATTTCTTCTGTGTCCTCTATTTCAAGCTAGACTCCATTTGATTTTTTGGGATGTGTCACGTCTCTCTTTTAATTTCTCTGTTTAAGCAAACTCCTCCATTTTAACCTGCTGGAATGATGCTGGATTAATATATATATATATAAATTTAAATTAGTTAATTGAAATTAATAAATTTGAATTTTAAAAAAAATAATTAATTATTTAAAAAATCAGCCCAGCAATCTGTCTCTGCTGACAACTGAGGGACTCCTTATCAGTTTCCTTATCCTTTGTCCTTCATGGGGAGAGAAGAGACAGCAGCAACAGGGAAGGGAAGAGGGGCTGTGGGAGGGGGCAGTGCCTTTGGCAGAAATGGGTGGAAATAAAGCCATTTTATCTGGGAATGAACAAGATGAATCACTTTGATATTTCCTGTTCCTCAAGTGTTGTCATGGGCAGGATATTCTCTTACAACACTTGGACTGCTCTGCAGTGATGAGCAAGAAAGTGTCTTTGGATTGAGGTGACTCTCACTTCAAAAATATCAGTTTAATGTGGGTTGGGAAGATCTGGTCCAGTTAACCTCTGCTAACAACTTCTTTTTCTCTGGTAATGCTGGAGCTATGAGGAAAATCACCACCCCAAATGTGAAATGTGTAGGGAATCGAGCAACAGCTCTTTTTTTATTCAATCCCAGCTTCAGTTTAGCAGATGTTCTCTGCAGAAGGTGAGAAGCCTCTGGAAATCACGGATTTAGATGGTAGTAGCAGTCTTTATTTATGTTAGAGTGATTCTGCTGGCCTCAACCAGGAATCACACACTGGATGGGAGCTCAGTGACTCCCTGCACTTCCAAGAACTGAGGTGGGGAGCACAGCAATTTCCAGGGGAGGGCTGAACAGTTTCTAAACACCTTTTGCTCTGTGTTACCCCATAAAAAAATGTGAAAACTGCACTGAAATCAATCAGTGCACCCCACGCTGTGCTCTAGAAAGCTGGTAAAGGATTATTAAAAAGGGGATTTTTTTACCTTAGACTTACAAAGAGAAGAACAAAGTCACTCAGTGATAAGTCCAGTTTTTCAGTGAGAGCACGAGACTCAGCAGAAACTGAATTTAGTTTATTTTTACATCCCCCTCCCTGCTCTGTGGTGCAGCAGAGCATGTCACAAATGGGTAATTCTGATCAGAGTTATCTCCAAAGGCATTGGCAGAAGGGGTTTTTATAGGCTGTTGTAAAAGTGTGGCTTAAGAAAGTTCAGTGGCAAGGTTAACTCTGTTCCTTACTACAGGGAGGAAAAATACAAAGGGAAAGAGAGTTAAAATTGCTCTAGAATGATTTACAAATGATTTCCACAGTGACCAGAGACCCTCCCATTGAGTTGTGAGGTTCAGAGCGGATCCCTTTGCTCCCTAAACTCCTGATGGAGCTGAGGTGCAGCTGGCTCCAGTCTGAGTCTCACATGGATGAGTTTGTGTCTAATGGAGTTGTCTCCATGGATTTCATCAGAATTTACTCAGCAGCCCAGGGTGTGTGATGAATACAGGGCCTCAGCCCTGGCTAAGGGAGATCTCTTATCTCAGGTAAGGAATCTTGTTGTGTTTAAGGAAGTGTTTGGCTCCAAGTCAGATGGGAAAGGTTTGTGTGTGAGATTCCTCACTTGCTTTGCTCCTTGGTAAATGAGTCTTGGAAAAGCTGCCCCTGCTATTCGTGTGTTAATTGTGGCATCAGTGTTCCAGTTCTGCCACCTGCTCACGAGGCTTTCCTGGAGGAATTCCTGCCTCTGGAGCCTGTTCCAGCCTCTTGCTGCTTTGGTTATCCACGGTTTGGAATCCATCCCTCCCAGAGCAGAAAGGACAGCGTGGATCTGTCTGATGGGAAAATGGGTTTTGCAGGATGCTCAGTCCACCTGGGACGTGCATCATTTGGGGTGGCACAAGCGGTGGAGCAGCTTCAGAGCCCAGCACTGCAGGAAATGGGGGTGGGAGTTTTTCACAGTGACTCAACTCCTGTTGTCATCAGCTCAGCAGTGACAGAAAGTGGAACTTGATGGGGGCTGAGTGGGATGAAAACCAAGGGGATGGAGAATGTGTCAGTGTCTCAGTGAGCTGGTGCTCACAGGGAAGGTGCTGTGGCCATTGCTGGCATCTGAGGGGGACATTTCCATCTCCACTGGGCAGGGCACGGAGAGCAGGTGAGCCTGGATACAACCCCTGGTGAAATCTTTGTTAATGTCTTAAATCCATGAGCTAAATCCATGCATTCATCCGTGTCCTCGCTGGGTTTTCACCTTTCCCTGTGGAGATGAAGGGCAGGACAGTGTCCACCAAGGGCAGCTCCATCATTCCTAAATCCCACAGTGCCACCAGGCTTTCCATGCTGGTTCCTGGATTGCCTTTGTTTTTTGGGGGTGTTTTTCTGTTCGTGAAGATTTTTTTTCCCCTTTTAGAAATTGTTTCTTTTGGGATTGGTTTGGGGTTTGTTTATTTTTTTACTCTTATATAGAAAGTTTCAGTTATTGTAGAAGTCTCCATCATAGCAAGATAGTGCAGATATTGCATAACCTCACTAGAATTACACTAAACCTAAACTCACTAAAACCACACTAAAATTCCATTTATTTGCAGAAGAACAAAGGAAAAAAGATGCCCCCTCAGTGGAATTTTGACATACAAAATCACTGAAAAATTTCCCATCCATTTTGCAGGAGAAATCAGAATTAATTTTATGCTGATATCTCAAAAAGCAAAACCATACCAGGTTTTTTGTCCTGTAGAAGAACTCCAGAGCAGGAGCACAGGAGAGTGGAATTTTGGGTTTTTCCTCCAAATTCAAGTTGGAGGGCAGGTCTTAGGCACACAGAGGTGAATCTCCACACCTCTCACCCTTTCCTTTGCAAAACACAGCAGGAATTTTTCCAGAGCACCCAAAGAATCACCAGCTGAAGGTTTAAGCTGCAAACAGGGCCCAGCCAAACTCTGCCTTTTTGGGGAAAAAAAATAAAAAATATCCTTTTGACTCCAGCAAATCTTCCTTGCAAAATGATGTCTCATATCTACACCCTGAATTACTCCTCGTGGCAAAGACTGAGCCAGGTCTGGAGAGTGGGGGGCTCATTTGCATTGCAAACCTGGCATCGGTGTCTGGGAAGGCTGAGGAGGTTTTATTCCGATTTTCCTTTGAAGCCAAGTATCCACAATGGCATTATTTGCATCTGGGTTGGCATTAACAGAGCTGTGGTGGTGGCTTTATCCCTGACTCCCTAGAGACAACACAAGGGGTAATCAACAGCCTCAAGTGCTCCGAAACTGAGCCTATTTTTTCCACTGGATTAGCAGCAGCAAATGCACAAGCACATTATTAAGATGGTACATTCATTTCTTTGGAGTCAGGATGGAATTTTGATAGAGTTAAAAACCCCATTAATATTTACATCACTTAGTGGTGCTGGAAGTAAGTACATTTATTTTAACTCAAGCTGCAAAGCATTTAGTTCTTTGTAATTACAGCACTGCTATTAAGTATTCATAAGGCTGCACAATAGAGTGTCACAGGAAACCTGGTTTAATTTAGTGGTAACTCAATGTTTTAGTTTTGTGTAAAAACAGAAACTAATTTACCAAGCCTTCTTGCTTGTGTTTTCCCACCTGGGCTTTGCAAACTTTCTTCAGCTTGGCTCTATTCAAACTACTTTTTGTAGCTTTGAAAGTTGGGAAGTTCCTGGGGGAGTCCTGCAGGTGTGCAGGAAATTTGGGATGGGCACACCCAGGCTGGGGGAAGAGCTGGAAAGCTGCCTGATGGAAAAAGACCTGGAAGTGCTGGTGTAAAGCAGCCAAACGTGAGCTCTGGTGGCCAAAAATCCGAGGGCACCTGGCTTGGATCCTCCAGTGGGGTGAATCTGCGTTTATGGGAGATCCTGGAACAAATGCCTGTATTTCTGTCTCCACTGCAGGATGAGGTCTCTTCTATGGACATTGAACTCTCAGCTGCCTGTGCCTGTTGCCTGTGATGGAAGAACTTGATGTGAATGTGAGGTAGGAGGAAGGACTCGGCTCCTGCAGCCCCTGAGCTGTGGTGAGGCAGTGACCCTGCAGAACGTCTGCCAGGCTGCAGGGTGGCATTTTCTCTTTGCCTGCAGATAAAAGTCTCTCCTCATGCAGCAGGGCCTGGTTTGGGGGCTCCTGGAGCTTCTCTGAGGACGTGGCATCACTCTGGTATTTGGATGAGTGTCAAATGTGGCCTAGACGAGTCAAGGATTCCTTTTCAGTTGAAAATGTTACGAATTTTGAAAAGGTTGCAATGAGATGTTGAGGAGACATTCCTGGAAATTTTTGACAGTTCAGTTTGGAACTTGCATTCATCACAGCCTGAGGGAGGTGGCAGACCTCATTTTCTCTAATTCCAGAGTAGAAAACTAAATGACCCGCGAGTATTTCCTATTTATATTTTATTGGATTTTTTAATTTCATGCGACTCGGCGATTGTTATTGGGTACATTTATTACAGGCAGTAGGTTAATGAGATCCTGTCAAGTGGTTTAAAATGAAAACCTCAAATTGGTTACAGCAATCCAGAGAGGCCAAACTCTGCCTCTCTTGGACTCTTACCAGTGGAAGTCACAATTGTGTCGTGCCTTTGAAAGAGTTTGAAAACCTTCCTGGGCTTTGGGTGAGACCCCCCATCATCTCCTGCAGAGCATTCCCAGTTGCCAGGAATGCTTCTGCTGGTCTGACAGCCCCTTCTTATGTCATGGTAATTAAATCTCACTCTCTTAGCTTTTTGGAGCACAGGTAACTTTTATCTACACCAGCTCTGCATGGCATTTTTGCCTAATTTTCCCTCTACCCCTTTCCCCTACTTGTTTTTCCCACCATTTTCCTACCCCTTTTTTCCCCTGCCACCTTTTATTCCCTGCCCCCTTTTCCCGCCTTTCCCTTACATGGATTTTCCCGCCTTTTTTTCCCGCCTTCCCCCCCACCCCCCGCCTTTTTTT